CATACGCTTTTTCAAGACCTTCACCCACCGCACGACATTTGCTGGCATCCTCTCCTTCAAGAACAACCGTCTTTGATGTACATACCGGTACATCATCCAGAAGAACCGCAAATTCAGTTGTTCCAATTTTGTGCGCACTCCAATGGCCTAAAGTTTTTACTGAATTGGTCTGCAAAACCAGCCTCACAACACTTTATGTTTCCACATGCTCAAAATGTTGCAAAGCTCCATGAAAACGCAAATTTTGCTCATTTAAACTAAACTTTGTGCAATGTTTTGTCACTTAACTAAGAAACATAATGATGTTTCTGAAACGTTATTTTACAAAATTGAAAATTTTAAATTATGAGGAATAGTAACAAGAGACGCATCCTGTGATCACCATTAACTTAAAATATTCCAGACCAAACGTTCAAAAATTCAACTGCAGAAAAACAAACCTGCAAAAACGTTTGGTGACGTAGAAACCAGTTTAACAGCATATTTCTTACCGTCGGGATCAGAAGTGATTACCTGCAATTTTTCATCAGCTGATAACGTCCTTCCAGCGTCTATTACGATCTCTTTATGGTACCCAAGCAGCACTTCCTCTAAAGTTTCAAAAATTCATTTAATCTTTATAACCCTTATCGTTCCATTTTTACTTTACTTATGGGATTTAAAATTATTGTTTTTTATCTACGTTAAAAGGAAAGCTGAAAAAGAAAACCTTCGCGAGCGTAGAAGAAAAGAGGAATAACTCATACCATCTTTGAGGCCTTCTATACGCATACTGGACCAATCAACAGATGGCTTAACAGTTATTTCACGATTGGTTACTTCAGTACCTTCGAACAATATTCTTGCCTAAAAGAAATCATTTCTTTAGACTCTATCAAAAACTGGAAATGTCACTTGGTCATAATAAGCTATATTTTTAGCTAGGCTGAATACAAATAACCTGATAAGTGCCTGAAAACTGAGGCGTATATTTTACTGTATAAACACCGTCTAACTTATCCACAATTGCAATATCAACAGGCAGCCCCTTTGAATCCTTCATAATAACTTCTAACTTTCCTTTGCCAGCCTCTTTAGCGTCAATAAAGAAATGAGTGGTTTGTTTTGAACGAACTTCTTCATCAATACCAGGTCCATATACACGAATAGAAGCGACATCAATTTGTTCTTTCACATTAAACTGCAAAATTATTTCATTTGTGGCTCAAAAACGCATTTTAACTTCATTTTTCAACAAATTAATGTTTTAGCAATATTTCAAACATTAAGGACGTACAACAAACGGTGTATTTGGTACCGCAACTCCAAACACTGCTGCGTCAATGTAATGCTGTCCTACAGATTTTGGTTGAAAACTGTACTCGAAAATCCCATTCGACCTCTTCTGCACGATTACTGGTACTGGAGATAAATCTGCATCGTAAATGTTGACAACAGGGTTGGCGTTATCTGTAAATGTTCAATAAAGGTATATTTCAAATAAGCAAATCCACTGTTGCTATTACTATCAGAAATACTGCTTATGATTTCGTTTGTGATAGCAAGTAAAATTAGGGCTAATTTTTTTCCAGAACACTCGCATCCAGTTCTTTCACTTCTAAATACTTTTGTATTCACATAATAAAAAAACCAAAAACCTCATAAACTGTTTTTTGAAAAAATTTCAAAATTTACCACCGCAAGACGACACATCAATGTTAAAAACGACGTTTTCCTCTGCAGCAATAGTAGAGTGGGAAGATATGCCCAGTAGCTTAGCAGAAAGCGGTTTTATGTCTTTATCTGCTGGTTCAACCATAAAGACAAATGGTGAATCTTTGATATGTTTATCGTTTGAAAAGATATTCACCTTGTACACACCAGGTTCATCTGGCTAAAACGCCTACGTCTTAATCACCCAAAATTGTCACAACGAAAACTTTGCAAGAAAAGACGACTTTTCTTGAAACATTAATGAGTGAACGTTTTTTCACTGTATGCTGTTAAAGATCATAATTTATACGGCCATGAATAATCGGTCACCCACTTTCTTTAAAAGTGCATTCACCACAAAGCAACGGTAATCTTTTAATTTTCCTACTTTAAAAATCCTCCTTTTATCGATTTTGCATTAAAACCTTCGTAAGTATTTTAATTCACTCCCCTATCAGACAAGCCTTTCAATATTCGGAAAAAAATGGCAAAGATCTTTGAAGACTGACTACTGAAGGTATCCAAAATGCCAATAACATCTTAGCAAAGTAAGTTTTACGTTTTCTCAGATAGTCTAACAAAACATTGGTAATTTTATAGAACAACTTTTAGTCCAGTCACTTCTTTTCAGTTTCTCATTTTCCACTTATAGCATCTCCCTCACTCTGTTCAAAAAAGAAGCCATCTTCAAAAGCGACAGATGACTAGTTACACACATGGCCCTCAATGTATTAATTACGAAAGTGCAAATCGAAAAGAAAGAAAATGCAGTAATATCAATCTTTTAAGAATGACACAGAAACTTTTTTAAAAACAGCAACACCGAGCTTACAGAATACTGCACTATTGCCGAACCATTGCCATTGTCAGTACAGGAAATATCGGTCTTACAAGGGCTTTCAATCGAAAATCCTAAAAAACGCTTCAAATTGCAAAAAATTCATGTAACATTCAATCATCTGTAACACTGCAGTTCCTCAAAGAAAGATGGACCGAAAAAATAGTTTACAGTAAACAGGTAACACTCTGAAAATTTGAATTAAGAAAAAAAAGTTGTCAGTAACGAGGAATAGTAACAAGACGGGAGTGGATATATGTGACCAACTGAGAAAAACCCGCTGTAATTTCTCTTATGCTTCCTCTCTGTGACTCACTGTTTCTGATCGCAAAAGTAGAAATGTCACTTTTTTACGGGAGTAAATATACCACCTTTGAATGTTACTTGTTATTGATACTTGTTACTTAAACTTGAAAAAGAAGACTTGTTTAGTCAGACGTTTCCTTCAGTTCTTCAGGAAATTATTAGAAAAAGTTGAGACTTTTTTCTGAAGTAGTACCGTCAACATTTCTTCAGTACAGAAAAAATACGAACCATTTTCCGCTAAAAAGTGTTTGTAGTGTCAAGTGACAATGCCAGCTTTCTGCTTGTGTAGCCTCCTGTAACTTTATTTTCGACTACACTTTATCTATTAGTATTTTTCCCACTCACTTTCCCCTTAAATCGTTTCCAAATGCGATTTTCTTCCCATGTAAATTCGAAAGACTACGAAAAAGCTAAATACGTTATGAGTTACTTATCAACCTATCTTAAATGAAACAACGACCAACTAACTAGTGGTAGAAAAACCCAGAAACTAACTGGAAAAAATTTTTGCAGAGGATTTCCTCCGAAGTACGCCTCTATATGCTTTACCGGCTTGACGTCTCATATGTTGTAAAAGAGAGAACAAGGAAGCGCGTAATAGTTGAAAAAAGGCAAAAGTGTTCATGAAAGAAATAGGAGAAGGAAGTTTCCGTTTACCACAAAAGACGATGAAGAAGTAAAACAAAAAAAAACTTTAATTGAAACCTGTCAAACTTTTCGCCCTTTTTTTACAGGGTAACCATTATTCAACCGCACTTTTCAATTATGTATTTGCCAAACTAACCTAGCCTCTCAGTTTCTCCTTTGGTTTCCACATAGAAGATACCCGGTTGTCCTGCTACTCCACCAGTGAGACCGGGACCGAAAGCTCGTACAGAACACAAAGTTCTTTCTTCCACTGCAACCTGAAGTTAAAAAAAACGGATTATGTAATTTTTGAAACCAAACGCTAAACAAGGTCTACTCTTCTCTTGAAACGTCTATCCTTCAGATGAAACAAATAACATATGGTAAAAAAGTTTTAAAACAAAACCCAAACAAAAAATTTGTAAATAATGAAATAAAAAACCTAATTAACATACGTTAAATGGACTTCTATCAATGTGCTCATCAAACGCCTTTATATTAACCGTATGATCTCCTGGACTTTGAGCTTTATAGCCATAGGTAAATCGTTGTTTTTTGGAATCAACGCTTTCAGTAAGAGGCAATGAGGAACCACCTAAAATTTTTAGGTTGGTGAATTGTACTATAAAACCTTGTTAATTAAAAAGAACTTTTCAAAAATAAAGAAATTTGACTTGGATCTAAGACGACCACTTCTGGGGGAGCGCTGCATTCCCTGTCGGAATCCACATTGAAAAATGTTTCGTCCCCAACGCGCACCCCTTGTTCAACAACACCGCGTCCCCAAACTTTGTAATTAACTGTAAAAATTTTAGTTTCTCATCTGCTTACTGTTAAAATTGTTTGAAAACAATTTCAGCTATAAATCTTTAACAAGCTGTACAATTTTAAAAGTGGCGCGGTTTAGAAAAAAATTAAGTCGGTTGTGATGCTCAGAAAATTTTTAAAATATTTAAATTGAATAAACAAGAGCAAAATATCATAGAGTGACATCAAAAAAACGCAAAAAAAACAAGGGTGAAAAGCATAAAGCGCAAAAGCAAGTAAGCAGCTATACTATATACCGCCATTACTGAATTGTTACCGTTGGAGAGAACAGTGAGGGGGAATGGGCTGCCAGCAACTTGTTTTTTACGATGCAACACAATGATCGAGTATGCACCCTTACTTGTTGGAACATATTCAGTACTTAACGTGCCATTTTCCTCACTGAGCGTTAATGGAACTTCTTGACCCTCTGGGGTTACCACAGAAACCTAGAAGTAAATACTCAAATCTCACTTTGAATTTCACCATTATAATTTTTATCTGATAAAGTACTGTCGATTTTTCAGCTTTAAATGGTCAGAAAAATTCCTATTTTTTGCCGACTTTTTGAAGGAAAAGCGCGGCGACAGTATAACATTATAAAAGCTAATAAAAAAAGCTTACTTCAACAGCTTCCTCAGCAGCATCTTCAACCTGCATTTTCACGGGCTGTCGTACACGTCCGAGAGAACTGTATTTCAAACTAGCGCCTTTAACCGCGCCGGGCTTTTGAACCGGGAGTTCAGTGAACGAGCTAGTAGCCTCATCGCTCATTTTAACGACTACCTATCAAAAAACTGATATTTTCAACTGAAACCGTTCACAAATATAACAGCAGCAATACCGTAAAAACTTTCAAAATAGTTTTTCCTTGTACCTGATGTTGACCAACAATTTTTGGCGTATATTTAACGGTATAAATCATTGAAGACACTTTTTCTAATTCAGCTGGAACCGTCCCACCATTAGGGTCCAGAATCGTAACTTTCGGTATAGTTGAACCGCTGTTCGTTCGTAATGTAAACTTTGATACGGTAGAAATAAATGGTGAAAGATCCAAATCTTCAACGTATCCGAGCGCCGGACGGTATTTCGCTTGGGGAAATTGTGATAGATAAGTCATAACACTTTTCTCATCTACTGCTGGATTAATAAGTTCTTCTGGCGTTATCAGCTTAAACAGTGAAAGTTTGTTTGGTAGAAAAGTTACAAAAAAATACCGTTTTAAATTACCATTGCAGTAACGTACCGGGACAACATTCAGTCGTTCACTAGCAATATCCATAGCTTTTCGCGTTGACTCTAGAGCATTATTCGGTATCCATTCTTTCCAGTTCAAGTGCAAATATGGTATGCAAGCATCAACCTGTAATAAAACTAAACGTAAGGTTTATTCAAGAAAATGATCAAGTTTAAGAAGAGCATAAAAAGTGAGCAAGCGCGAGATTTAAACTGATTTACCAGTGCGCCAAGCAGAACACCATCGTTCCAATCAGAGGTAAAGTTGTTAAGCGGTAAACCGGAAGGTAATTTAGCTTTAATCCAAGTCATTAGCTTCTGTTTCGGCGTTAACTGAACTGGAGCTTCGTCTGGAAGTTCATCCCAGATCTGTTGCGCAATTGAATAGTGCAAAATAAGTGTCCATATTAAACCCATTATAAGCTTTAAGTTACGGTCGGCTATCGCAGAACTGTCTTAAAATAAAATTTTTTAAAACAGTGGTAGAAACTCAGGTTAAAATTTTTAATACAAGCAACAAAAGCAGTTCCAAAAAAAAAAACACTTTTTTACAGTTTTATTGACAACCTAACAACTATCAGAAAAGATCAAATATCTCAATTAGCATTTATAGAAAAGTTAAAAAAAATTATTTCAAATTAACCAAAGGAAAGTCTTATTTTACCTATGTTGATTAATTTGATTTTTTCATCTCGCTCAAGGAAATTCAGTGCTAATGATATATTTTCCAGTTTTTGTGACCGAAATGTAACTTTTCTGCTGTATTTTCCAAGCGATTTTCCCGACAATATCTCAACCAAGCGAATTAGTATCAATCCGTCATCAAAATCTGCTTCCTAAAACTCTTGTAACTTTTAATCATCCTAAAAGAATTTTAAATAACCGGAAAAAAGTCGAAAATTTTTAAATAAAAATAA